AATTAATTTTTTTGATTGATTTGATTGGTTAATTATCACGGGTAGATCTACCAATCATACGAATGTCGTCCTATGAGAGGTATAAGAAAAAATCATTGTATATAGTACTACTGGTACTATGATCCATGTTCAGAATTTTTCTTCCAGAGTAATTTTTAAACCCTTTAATTTTTTTAGATGCACAAGTCGATCGTTTAGTTCGATGTCTCTCGTTAGATGAAGATGAGCGGAATAAGTCTGAAAATGTATCAATGGATGTTGATCATTTTTTGAGACACAATTCTAGAGACGAAAACGCCGATAATTGGGAACCTAACAGATATGAAATCGACCGTATTATTGCTCATAAAGTTGTAAATGTAAGTGTTGCGTAAAAATTCTTTTTTCAATAATTAATTTATTTAAATTGATATAAAACTAACTCAGCGAGAATTCAATTTTTATCGTGTCTATAGTATAATAAGTCGGATAAAGAACTTTATTGTTATAGTATTCGAAGGTTATTCGCATATGTTTTACGAGAGAAAATATACAACAATGTAAATATTTTAGGCTAATATTTCTTTTTAATGCTACTTGTTTTTTTAATTAATAATGAAAAGTACGAACTTATATATAAGCTCTTAGATATTATAAGTCAAGAACAACGCAGAGATCAACATCGTTTTGCACCTTATATCAGTGCGGAAGTTACATTTGATAAATTTAACTATTGAACTAGGGTAGCTGCGCAGCGCAGGATCGTACAAGAATTTACATACTCTTGACTCCATGCTTTTCTAAAAGAAAATCGTATTGTATTTTCCTCATTATCCTCAAAAAACTATATACTGTATTACATAATTCTATAATTCGTCATATATTTCGTCATTCTCGTGTATTTTGTCATCATTTGTCAATTAAAAGTGATTATTTTTGAATCCAGGCCAAAATGTTATATATAAAGTTGGCCCGGGTTCAAAGATAATTACCAAAGCTACCTGATGAAATGGCTTCACCATTCGTTAGGGATTATTAAATTGTCTGGAATGGGCCAGCCAGCAAGCTGGCCCGTCTTGGATCCCACTCATGGCCATGAAGCTCAACCATCAAAAAAAAAGATTCTTAGAGTCTATCGGTGTTGGGTATCAAATGAAGGTCCCTTGTGTTGTTGCTATTGCCACGGATCCTAGTGCACTCTTGTGTTGCTTGCTACATAGTTTCTTACAAATACAAGGCCCTGCTTTGCTCAGAGTAGAGATGGGTTTCATGCGTGCGCATGATTCCTCAATCGTGCGCATTAATGCGCATTCATGCGCATGATTCGGA